GGAAATTTCTCAAAAGAACTAAAATTTGAAATTCCGTATGACCCAGCTATCCCCCCTTTTAGATATCTTCCTCTAAGTAACTTTAAAGTAGAGGGACTTTTATGAGTAAAACAAGAAAGATTTTTGAAGACTGGGGCATCTGAAGAGAGACAGGATTTTCACTGTTGGATTGCAAAGAAGTTCTATAAAAGTATCTCATGCTATGAGCAGCGGATGCTTTAGAGCACAAAATATGTCAGATCACCACAAGCTAAAACTGAGGTATAGGGTTAATGCAAGACTGTGGTTCCCTAGCTTGTTGGTTGCAGGTGAGTCTTGGGCTGAGGCTCAAGTATTCACTGGGGTGGATCTGTTTGTAAGCGTACTCTAGTGGCTGTTAAGCAGCCACAGAAATATATTTCATGTAACTCAGTTTATTAAAAATATTATATTAACATTTGATAAATACACAAAAGTACTAGTGGATATTTAATATGTAGTACTGAGTCTGTGAAACACTGTATTTTATGCTGGTAGTTTATCTCAATTCTGATGCTGTTTGGATTGAATGTACTTGATCTGTATTTAGATGTCATGCAATTCATAGTTGAAAAATAGGTATGGAATTTTTGTTATTCCTTAAATAATGCAGCATAATAATTATGAACACAATATTTACATTGTATTAAGTATTGTAAGATGATGTCAAGTCTAAAGGAGGCTATGCCTAGGTTATATGCAAATGACATTTATTTAAGGAATTTGACCATCTGCAGATTTTGAAATACGTGAACCTCCTGGAACCAGTCTCCTGTGGAGAATGAGGGACAAATGTAATTAATGTGGTTTTGGATCATTGGTCATACTTATGTGGAGATATGCTGCTGGCAGAAAACTTGAAGTGATGATGAATGGTTTGTGGTAGAGACTTTATACTCCAGGTGTTGAAATATAAAATAATTGAGTGTGGGAAATTGACACTAGAAGTTTTTCAAAAATTTAATTTTTAGTTTGCCATTCTGTTCATCACTGTTTCCTAGTACATCTGTCAACCTAGAGAATGGCATTTGAAAGTGGAACCCCTTTTCCAGGCTTGCATTTCCTGCGAGTCTCAGCAAAGACCCTTTCCTGACTGGGACCACCAGTATTTTGGGATAAGAAGATTGCCCTAGGAATGGAAATGAGAGTCTTAGCCTTAGGATTCTTTTGAATAAGTGTTGGTAAATTAGTTCAGCCACCATGCCCTGACCCGCTTCTAAAGATCTTGTCTGTATTTCCCAAATCTTTGGATGTTAGAGGTAAAGGGACATGAGATCATCTAGTCCAATAGTTGTGTTTTGAAAATAAGGAAATGAAAAAGAGAAATTAAGTGATTTACTTAAGGTTACACATGTGGCTATGTATAAAAATCCCAGGTCTTTTGCTGTCAGGTAGGTATGTTGCATCCCAACCCCATCTGGGGAGGTAGCAGCCTCATTGGTAAAGGACTGTGTACACAACTGGCTCCTGCAACTTCTCTTTATATGGCAGAGCTTAGTTAGATTGATCTCATCAAGGTTATGGGGAGGGGGTAAGGATGTGCCATGCTATGTGAGCCAACTTTTGGGACAAATTTCTTCTGTAGAACACAGTTAAATACCAATGGCAATTGCTTCATGAGATTAAGTGTTAAAAAAAGTGTCTGCACAAGATTTGGCAGTAGATATTCAATACTTACATTTTTCTCCTCTGCTACTTAGCTTTCGATCATTCTTTTTTTGGGGGGGATACTTATGCTGTATAACTGTTAGAACTTCCAAATGAATGATACAGTGTAGTTAAGAGCACTGGCTTTAGAATCAGACAAATTGAGTTTAAATCTCAGCTCCACTACTTACTAAGTGATCTGAGGCAAGTTTCTCAACCTCTTTATACATCACTTTCCTCATCTGGAACATGAGGATGGTAGCACTTATTGTGTGGTGTCATGAGGATGAATTCATACATGTGAATATACATGTGTGAGAATGAGGATTGGAGGCAGAGAGGAGAAATCAAGAGTTTTGGTTATATGAAATTTAAGATGGTTGTGTGAAATTTGAGATGCCTGTGGACATCCAAATGGAGATAGCCATAAGATTTTTGGACATATAAGTCAGAGCTGAATAAGGAGGTAAGCATTGGAGATGTGAATTTGAGATCCATCCACGTATAGATGATATTTAAAGTCTTGGGCCATGATTGAAGTTATGGACCAAGAATAGGAAAGGGCACAGAATGGATCCTAGAGTGCGTCAACCTTGAGAAATCATGCAGAGGAGATAGAAGTCTAGACTGAGGAGTGGCTGTGAAGAAGGAAGAAAACAGATTGTGTTGCCACACAAAAACACCAGGAAAAAGTCCAAGGTGGTGGGTGAAATGGTGTTTAATGTGACCAAGATGACAAAGATAATTTTGATTTGGATCCACATAGGTCATTGGTAACCTTGACAAGAGAAATGTCAACTAAAAGTCACCTAGTGTCATGGTTCTCTTTTGTTTTCCTTTATGGCTCATCTTTTAAAACCACTTTGACATATTCACTCTGATTTGAAATTAGACTTACCAACAAAAAGGAGTTTTGTTAACTGGATTCCCTCAAAAGTACAATGTTATTCCCACCTTGGAACAAATTTTATTTAACTAAGTCTCTTTATTTGATTACATACAGAGAAACTGGCAAAATTTAAGAAATTGGTCCCATTTTACAATTGGGATGCAAATTTAGGGGCTTTGAAAACATTTCTAGTTACTTTGGAAGCCTGCCTTATGAACATTAACCACAGTGTATCTTAAATTTAATATTTCTTTGCATTGAGAGGGGTGGGTTTTTTCCTGTGTATTTCAGTTGACTCTTCCAAACCCAGTTTATACTTCCCATCTGTAAAACATTTCTGGATTCCTAAGAGAGTTAGGGTCTCAGCTCTGATCAGATGTATCACTTTTATGCCTGTCTTAAATCAGTCATCAAACTTTATTATAATTTTGTATATATCTGTTCTTCTATTACACTATGTAGGGGTAAGAACTGAGTCACTCATCTTTGTCTCCAGTGTGTAAGCTCAGTCCAATGCAATAATTGGTACAGGATAAATATTTGTTATGCACAAGTGACTAATTTCTGAAGATTAAAAACTAAAATTTGAAATTAGGTAATATTTTGTTCATATAGATTTTTATGTACTTCCTATATATTAATTATAACAGCTTGTGAAACTCATTTTTTTGCTGCTGTAAAAAGTCTTCTAAAATCCAGTATGTCTATACTACTAAAATTAAAGCCTTATCTTAGTGAGTTAATGTAAAATGTACTGCATCTGTCTCTTCAAGATGACTAGTGTACAGGAGTGCTTGGATTTGTGAGGTCATAAATTTTGAAAATACTGAATATGTGGATGTTATACTGAATATGTTTGTTATGTTATTATTTGTTTGGTTATTTTTTCCTGAGGAAATAGACAGTGGAATTAAAATATGCATTTCTAAGAGGGAAGGAATGTATGCATTCTTCCTAATGCAATTAGCTTTTCATTAAAGTAACATTTTCAAAAGTTTTAATTTTTAGTGTTTAAATACAAACAAATATGTTATTACTCATAATTTTTTTTTTGTATTTCATTTTTTTCAACCTCTACATCATTGAATTGGCCTTTGTAAGTTTTTTTTTCAGGATGTCTGCTATTACTGTAATAAATTAATTAATGGGTTGGCTTAGTAAGTGACACTGAAAAATATTTCTTAGAATTTGTAAGATTTTTCATTGAAGCAGATGTATAATTTATCAAATAGCCAACCACACTTCACTGTTCACTGCTAGGTACAGTGGTAAATATAGCCATCTATAGGCATGTTTCCTTCTTTTGGGGAGTTAGAAATAGTAGAGACTTGAAACTGGTACCTAGCTGGGTGTGGTAGCACACACCTGTAATCCCAGCTACTTGGATTGCTGATGTGAGAGGACTGCAAGTTTGATCCCATCCTGGATAACTTAATGAGACCTGTCTCAAAATGAAACAAAAAACAAAAGGCTGGGAGCATAGCTCAGCAGTAGTGTGTGCCTGGGTTCCACCTGTAGTACTGCAAAAAAGAAAAGAAAAGAGACTTACCCAAGAAGAAAACAAAAAAATGGTACACATATTATTCAGCTTTTTGTTGCTGGGACAAAATACCTGGCACACACAATTTAAAGAAGGAAAGATTTTGTTTTGGCTCCTGGTTTCAGAGGTTTCAGTTCATGGTCAACTGGATTCCAGGGAGAAACATGATAGTGAAAGGACATGGCAGAGGAAAGCTAGTCACCTCATGGCATCAGGGAAACAGGGGAAGAGGTAGAAAAGAAGGAATGGGAAGATAAAATAATCTTCAAAGCTACATTGCGAGTGACCAGCTTCATCCAGTTAGGCAGACCTATGAATGAACTAATCCATGATGAAGTCAGTGCCCTGATTATATTCCAGAAGTCCCACCTCTGGGCATGTGAGTCTTTGGGGAGACATTTTTGATCAAAATTATAACAGGAGATTTGTAGAATCAGTTGTACGTGCAAGACTTTGAAGGATAGGTAGGGTTTATATGGATAGAGAGGTGGAAGGTAGAACACACTAGATTGGAAAGAAATAGAATAAAGGAGCCAAAAGCAATAGTTATGATGACATATGAAAGTAAAATATTGATCTCTATCCAGAGACTTTAAGGATTTTTATAATTTATCTTAACAAAGAAAATAAATTATACTCTTGAATTAATATATAGTGGTGAACACATTTATTAAACTGAATGGAGACAAATAGGAAATCTCCTTATCTTGTCTTTTTTTTATTACAGAGTAATGTAGGCCTAGTGCTCAAAAAAAAAAATGTGGTTTGGAAAAGGAAAAACAATTAACAGTTACTATTGTGCTTTGTGGGGATGTGAAAATTATATATATATATGGGGATTCATAAAATTGTATTTAGGAATTTAGTTTTCAAATAGATATTTTATTTTCTGCATTTTACTTTTAGGAGGAAAACAAAAGCAAAGGCACCACTTCCTCCATCTGAGACAAAATATGTGGATGTCTCTTCAATTGATGATTCTGTAGAATCTGCTGCTTTCATCATGGAACAGAAAGAAAACATAATAGATAAAGACATTGACCTTACAGTGGTTTTACCTGGGAATATCATCACATCTACTACTGTTCATGGCAGGTATGCTGAGAAACTAAAATACTACAACCTCTCTTCTTCCATCATTCAAACCCTCTGTAATAGCTCTCTTGATGTTTTTTTCTGTGACAAAATACTTCATTCATCATTCAGTTATATATATTTTTAAAAGCAAAATGCTAAAAGAGTATTAAAATTTTTCCATCAATGTTTAAACACCAATGCTAAATGAATTTTACCACGCCAAATGATTCTTAAAATTTCAAGTTATTTCTTATCTTGTTATTTATTAAGTTATTTAAAATAAGCCTTTCCTAGAGGAGTTCTAATTACTGATTTGATTTTGTAAGTCAATGATCTGCAAAAAAACACTTCCCCTTCTATATTAGTCACTTTGCATCACTGGGGCAAAATACCGAACACTTGAAACTTAAATCGCATTTTAAAGGAGGAGTTATATTTTTGCTCATGCTTTCAGAGGGTTCAGTCCATGACTGGCTATCTCCAAGGCAGATACAGCGTGGTGGATGAAAGTGTCTCAACCTGTGGCAGCCAGAAAGCAGAGAGCGACGGGAAGAGCCAGGGACAGGAATACACCCTTGTAGTTCACACCCCCCATCAATGCACCTCCTTCAACCAGACCCCGCCTTCTAACAGCACATGCAGCTGTGAAATCCTTAATGGATTAGTCCACTAATTAGTTCAGTGCCTGCATGATCAAATCACCTTCCCCAAACTCCACTTCTGCACACATACTTTTGGGAGACATTTTAGATATAAACCATAACGTCCCCTCCGAATTGTTCTTTCTGCTTTAAGCTAATTCTTTGATTTGTAGAAGTTACCACTTCTCAAATGTATATTCTCTTATTTATCAAAACAGATAAATCTGTAAAATTAGTAAAGTTTTTTTTTTACTTCATCAATTCAACTTGATTAATTTAAAAATGAGGATGGGGTAAATAGAATATAAAATCAAACTTCATCCTAGGAAGAAGAATATAAAATGTAATTTAGGAAACTGATAGTTTTAAATACCTGCATAAAAACTGGAAAAATGGAACAAAACCAAATATAATTTTCCATTTCTTTCTGAAGTGGAAAATTACATGAACTCTATTCAATTTTGTTCTACCTTTTTCCATCAATTGCCTATTGTTATCTAAGCATATGTTTTACAAATTGAAGCTGTTTAAAGCTTAGTATGGTATGTATATGTGTATATGGAAGACAAGAGAATAGGCAATAACTTGGGTATTACATTTCTATAACCTCTTTTTTTCTAGAAATCTCATTTAAGCTAACCTTAATTTTAAGATTTTCAAAGTCATGTAACTACAGATTATGAATATAGATAACAATAAAGTAGTTCAGCTTTAGCAAACACATGGGATTATGTACTGGATCTCATCCATTAAACTTTATTTATGAAGTTGAAACCTGTGAATGCCCTCCCTGAACCTACACTTTGCCTAAGATTTCTCTGTGAGGAAAGCATCCTGGAGGTTAGAGACTATGGCTGTCATTTCAATTCTTGAAAAAAGGCCATTACTCTGGTTTTAAATAATAATGGATATGATTGAAAGTAATAAAGGCAATTATTCTTCTTTTCCCTGAATTCAAAGTAAGTTAAAAAGAAAAGTAACATTTTTCCTAGTTCTTCCCCGATGTTTTGTTTTTTTTTGAGTCAGTAACATGGTTTGTTGTACTATACTTACATAATTTTAATCTCATTCAGACATCAAATGTCACAGGTAGTTTGAGCACATTCCCTGGTCTTGAACTTGAGAAAGTATTCTCCTTGACAATATGCAATTAGCAATTTTAGTGGCTGAAATTAGGCAAATTTTCATTAACCTACAGATTGGATGGGGTGGGGCATGGTGGCACACACCTATAATCCCAGCACTCAAGGGAAGCTGAGGCAGGAGGATCATAAGTTCAAGGCCAGCCCAAACTGCATAGCAAGCCCTTGTGGTCTAAAAAAATAATAATAATTGGATGGGTAGTATCAGCCAAGCCTACCAAGCCCTTTGAAATCCCTTGGGCTCAGGCCAGGGATTTAGCTCAGTGGTTCCACCACCTGCCTCTCAAGTGCAAGGTACCGCACCCTGGTACCAAAAAAACAGAACAATAAAATAAACTCCCTTGGGCTGGGAATGTACCTCAGTGGCAGTGCTTGCTTAGCAGGCTTGAGCCCCAGCATTGCAGAAGAGACATCTTGAGGCCATACACCAGAAATCCACTTACCCAGAATGAAAATATATGGAAGAGGATCAAATATTAAATCTTGGATATCAAGTTTGTGGGAAAAAATAGCTGGTGGGTAAATTTATATGTGTCTTTTAAGAAACAGCCCTTTTAGACCATAGGAAACACTGAAAATGGAAAATCAAAGGTCTTTAATGATTTATTTTAGTCTTGCTCTTAACAGTTACCAATTTCCCCATAGCTCTTCCCTGATGTTTACAGGTAATACTGGCTTCATCACTAATAAACCTCTAAAGTTCTTCTTGGAAGAAATCTCTTTATATTGCTGTATTTTCTGTTTGCTATCAGTCATCTCTGGATTTTTCTCCCCCTAAATCTCAGTGGCTTTAGTTTCAGAGTCATGGTTTTCCTTTCTGACTTTCCCATCCATCACAGTTATCTTAGACTTTCTGCATGCTGCCCTTCACCCTGGGGACCTCTCTCCATAGTCAAGTTGCTCTGTCCATTGGGGAATCCTGGATTCTCACCACTTTAAAACCATCCCACTACTGAAATGATGGGGTATCTTCTTTAATACAGCCTTTCTAATATCTTCTTTCTCTTTCTTCATTTAAGTTTTTCTTCACTCTCATTAAGTCTAAGCTATGACTTTTCTTTGTTACATTTTTTCATGTCTAAATTTTTATCATATCTAATTTTTGTTCATATCTAATTATAGGTTTGTATCAGTCTTTTCTACTACATTTCCACTTGCTAGGAACCTAGACTTTTCTCACTCTCCTGACCCTCTAGCATGTCCAAGTCCCTACACCTGAGTAAATTTCTATCATTCATGATTTTCCCCTGGGCCACTGCCTGTTGTTGAGTTGCTGTATTCTTATCTATGAATATTTTGCTAGGATTAAATGAAATACTATCAGTGGGACTTGTTGGCATTTATTGGGGCTTCTTCTTTTTTTTTTTGTGGAGGTGCAGATAGAACCCAGAGTAGTCTCTGTTTTCTACTGGGGACTGCTTTCCTTCACCCAGGAGTGTTCCTATTTTCCCTGCACCCAACAGACTAATCTGACTAAAGCACCTCTCAGTTTGTGGCACTGCCTTTGATAAAAGACTGCAAGGGATGGCAATTCAATACCAAACTAAGGAAGTCTGGACTACTGATTATGGAGATTGGGACATGTGATTTTCTTCTCTGAAATTAAGTAGGCTTTTCCTTTGCTGCTCTCCTTTGTGTATAGTCTTAAGCTTCACCACATGATTCTTTGGTCTCCTGCAGATACTCTACATATTTCACTTCCATACTTGTTTGTTTGTTTGTTTAACCTGGCAGAATTTATCACCCTCACTTTCTCCAGTAAATTTATATAACTCAAATGGCACTTTTCATATAAAGGCTCCCCAAGGTCCCCAGAATCAACTGTTTCCTTTGGCTTCCTTTCAACTGTTCCTTTTCTGATTTCTTATACTATGGTTATTGCATATTCTCCTGTGCTGCAATTTATATGTATGTCTTTTCTTGAGTAAACCATAAGTGCCACGGAAGACACCATTGGTTTTCTTTATAATACCTAACACATTTTCCAGCAATGCAGTAGGCATTTAATTAATTCATTGAAGTAAATATTATCTCCCTAAGCCCTTATGTGTAGTTAGAGGTAGCAATTTAAATGGTGTACCTTGAGGTGATGTTTGGAATGATCCTCATTGCTTTTCAAGAATCTTTTAAGAAAATATATTTTCTCTACACAGACAGCAGAATAGGAATGCCCAGAATGCTAATCCCCCCAATTTTTATTCTTTTTATATTTTTATTTAGGGCTGAAGAGTTTTTCAGAGGGTAGAATGTATTTATTAGTGTTTTTATTGCAGAGTTTAAGAACTTTGATTTTGATAGTTTGATCATCTATTAAGTGTTTTGAGTTAAAGAATTTGCTTGTGTGTGTTTGTGTGTGTGTGTGTGGTAATTTATGATTTTCACCAAAGCAGTTCTTCCCCTTATTAAAAGTGACTATGAAAGGATATTGGTGTTATAGACAAGCTGCCCAAAGGCTGTCTTTCTCAGAAAGTCCTCCTAGTACTTGGGGAAGATAATTTTTAATGAAAATGAGCTGACAGCATAAACTGTTACAGACACTACACAGAGTAAGGGATGATGTAGGTATGATGAATGTAATCATGATGTGATGCAAACATGTACTAATGAAAACATTTTTAAAACAATCCTTATAGTCATGTTTTTCTCAGCATGTGATTCATCACTGAATAAATGTTTTTCCTGCTTGGGATATATTTTTAAAGCACAACTTTCAATTTGGTAAACTTGATAAAAGGTTGACATTAAGGAGGAGGAAGGAAAACAAACACCATTTATAGCAATAGAGGTTATTTCTCTCCAGCATAAATGGGACTTTGTTTTGATTGGAGCAAACCTGAGGATGTCATGAATGAAAACACAAAAATAGAACTTGAAGCTTGAAGTTTCAACTAGAAGTTATAGTTTCCTTGATAACTTGCTATGTGACTTCAAACAAGTCACCTCACCTCTCTGAGCTGCTGCTGTAAATTGACTCAGAGAAATGTTGATTTGTGGCCGATTTGCCTGTCCAGAACCACCTTAAGTTTTGACTAGCACAGGTTGGGTCACCTAAGGAACCCAGGAGCATTTTATGTGGAGCACAGCGCCACCTATTGGAAACAAGTGGATTTTAAAATGACGAGGGCTAGATAATTGTCCTTTTGGTTAAAATAAAATAAAGGAATAATACTACAGTGTAGATCTCAGAATTTCTAAAGTTCACATCATTTATATTTGTTGAAAACTGTCAAATGTT